CTCAACTGATTGTGACTCTCATCTCAGTTACTTATTATTTGGGTTATCAACTTCAAGGACATAATGCTAAGTTAAATAAGCCAGTCATGAAAAGGCAAATACTGTATGATAGCACTTACATGAGGTATCTGAAGTAGTCAAATTCATAGAAACAGAAAGACGAATGATTACCAGGGGCCAGGAGGTGGGGAGAAAGGGTGAGCTGTTGTTTAACTGGTACAGAATTTGAGTTTTACAAGATGAAAAAGGTCTGGAGATCTGTTTCACAACAATATGAATATATTTGCCACTACTGAACTGTCGTCTTAAAAATGGTTTAGCTGGTAAATTTTGTGTTATGTGCTTTTTGCCAAAATGAAAAAAAAAAAAAAAAAGCAAGCATTGCTATAATACGAATGTTGAAGACTTTGTGTTCTGAAAAATACATAGTTTGACTCAAACAAACACAGGCAGCAGATCAGATTTGGCCTCCTGGTTTGCTGACTCTCCCTGTAACCAGAAGCCCGCCTTCATGTATTTTCCCCCAAGACCTTTGTATAGAGTAACAGAATATTATAAACTGCAAGTAGGCATAGAGACTTAAGAGTCATTTTGTGGGTAACAGTAAGGGGACTGGGGAGTTAGGAGGAGTATTTTCTAAGGTCAAAGAAGTAATTAATGGCAGAGCAGTGATTAGAATTTAGCTGCCCAAGTTCCTTCCTTTGCTATTTGGAGTTATCTATAGATTCTTAATGATCAGGAAAACAATCTTTTATTTGACTGGGAGCAAACACAATATTTAACTGTGTCAACCTAAAATAATTCAAAGGATCCTAATCCAGTTTTAAAGAGTTTGTTTATTCAAACGAAAAGCTGGGAATGGCCATGCCAAGACTCATAGACTCCAGAGAAATGGGGTCAATGCTACAAAGTTGCAAGTTAAGGTCTTGCTTATGTAGAAAGAAGACGAAGAAATTTAACAAGATTACATTTTCTATACAAGGCTGGTTTAAGAATTACAATAAATTAATTAGTTACAGTTTGTTTTCTTTATAGCTGATTTTCATTTCCTTTACAATTTAAAAGACTATTTAATATTCCATCTTAAGACAATATGATAGCTATGAAGTCTTTGTGTGAGAAAGGTAGGAGCGGGGTTAATCTGCAATGAAGATTCCCTTCAGTCATTTACAATATTTTACAAAACAATGTAGGTATGGAAGAAGGCCAGGCTATAACCAGGGAAGCAAAGTTTACAGTTGCTTAGGTTACAGCTGCCTGTCATCTGACTCAGGCCCCATAATCACATTCCTTTAAGGCTCAAAATAATTTAGAGTTCCAACAGCTTAGATTTTGAATTACTTGTTTTCATAACTGAATTCCGTAGCTGCTACTATAAATACAGAATGAATTAAAATCCTCTAGTAATGAGTTCTCTAGCCCTCTGTGACTTTTAGGACTAGAGCCTTTGATTACTTTTTTAAAGACCTCCCCCCTCAAAAAAAAAAAAAGAAAGACTAGAGCTAGGGGAAGAAAGGACAGTACTGATTACAGAACTCACTTTAAAGGTGAGAGCTCTATGCTGAAATTGTTTTAAATGTAGTTCCCTAGAAGTAATTTAAATAGCACCTAATATTTTGTGAAGTGTTAAAATAAATAAAATAGTCTTATTTAATATAGTAGTAGTCTCCATAAAAACAGTTACATTGACCACTAGCAACTTTTAGGGAATCGTGTAAATTTGTCCTTCTTTACAAGATTAATTAATGTTTAAAAATTAAGTAACAACTTGGAAGACAAATAGTTATCATTATGTGCTGAATGCCTGGTTTCCTAGGGGTGGCATAAAAGGGAAGGACAAATTGAAAAGGGTGGCCTTGCAAAATTAACATAAAAATATCTAATCCAGCAATTTCCTAGTAACAGAGATCAATCCTATGAGTTCTCTCACTAACAGGCACCCTGCAGGAGTTCTGTTTTGCACAACTTCTGAAAAGAGTGAACAGACGGAAAGGAGATATAAATCTCTCTCTTTTGAAATTGCCTTTGAGAATCTGCTTTTTTACGGCCTAGAGAGTTCCTGAGTGAACAGCAGTGGGCAAACTTCAAGCCTCAGCCATATCTCAAGGGCAGAGTCACATCTCCAGCGAGAATCCTTATAATCCTGTCCCAAGGAAAGGCGGGGAAGCCAACCCTTGGACTTTGACATCCCGCCCCACTTGCAGTTTCTGTTATCAGGTACCCCCAAGAAGAAAGAATGGAACTGATACAGCAGTATGCTGGTTAATTTGGCTACAGCCGTAATGCTTCTTCATCCCCTAAATAAAAAGTCTGAATACCTGGTTCTCTCTCCCAATATTCTCTACTTCCTTCACTTCTGTGTCAGTCGGTCCTTTTTCCACCTTGGGAAAAGTAAATAAACTTCTTCCTTCTATTCTGATCTTTGGAGAAATCTTTTCTCAAAACCTGAGTGCACTGGCTCACACCCTAACACAAATAAAGCCCAGTCCAGCAGGTCAGGATCCAGATTTAAACCATGAGTAAGATGCTTAGGGTGCAATGTTCATTTCGTTCTGTAACATGAAGCATGACAAGCTAGAGGTTTTACCTAGCATGGTATAAATGATTACACTAAACAGTTTCTTTTTGTTGTCTAGAAAAAACCCCCATCCAATTACGCTTTAGAAGTCGTGTTGAGCACAGATTCCAACACAACCCATAAAGTTTATGTAGTATTCCAGGAGTTGAGAAAGCATAAATATTACTACTTAATTATTAATAATACAGCTTCAATTATAATGTCAATGTTGTGTTAAAAGACATTCCTTCTAGGCTTTCCTGGTGTACACAGAGATGTGCTTATCTAAAGCACCTGCTGTCAATGAAAAACACCCTGTGAACATTTGTCTCTTCATAATATCCGTAGAAATATGCATAGAAAACAGAAAGTGAATATTTTAAATTGCTTCTTACTTAAGTATAATACACAAATGCAATACATAAGCCCAGATAGTATCCTACTTCAGAAAAAAACAGCTATAAAAGACATTCTGGGTACAATTATGGAAACTGGAATATGGACTGAATATTATATAATATTGGGGGATCACTGTTGTTTTCTTAGGTGTAATAGTGATATTGCGGGTTTTTTTTTTTTTTTTTTTGAGACAGAGTCTCGCTCTGTTGCCTGGGCTAGAGTGCCATGGCATCAGCCTGGTTCACGGCAACCTCAAACTCCTGGGCTCAAGCGATCCTCCTGCCTGGGCCTTGCAGCAGAGTGCTAGGATAATAGGTGTAAGCCACCACGTCCAGCCAGCGATACTGTGATTATGAAGCAAAAGTCCTTATTCTTAGGGGAGACAGGCTGAACTATTTAGGGGTGAAGTATTTTTGATGTCTGCAACTTATTAAATGGTATTACAAAAAGGCATATCTATTTCCTGTATACTTGAAATCTTTTCATAATAAAGAATGGGAGTGAGGGGAACAAAGGGCATCTTTTTAAAGTACCTTAGCCAAGAGCTCTACGAAAAACTGAGCAGTAACTTCAATTTACCCTTTGGGTTTGTATGTGTGTTGTTACCTTTTTTTTTTATGCCATTGCACACCAGGTATTCAGCTTGTGCAAGCTCAGCCTCACCCAGGTGCACCTCAGCCTAGGTGTGACTTCATCACACTTAAGTCAAAACTAGCCTGAGGAGATAAAGTCCACACTTGAACATGAAGTTCTTCACATTCCTAAAATATTACACAGGCACATTCACTTGTTTGGTTTGCAGTTTTATAGCAGTCTTATTTCCCTTTAGGGCCTGTGTTTCTTTCTTTCTTTTTTGCCAAGATAACCCCAGAGAGAGGCAATTTCTTTCACACCCATGGACACATCCCAGGAAGACTTTTATTGAGAAATCTTTTTGCCCAACCACTCATTGCTGAATTCGATGTCGAGCTGTCTGTACTTAAGTTACTTCTTGAAATAACGAATTTCATGCCGCAGTTTAAAAAGCAAACCCAGTAAGAAACTCAGAATCACAATTTTATGCTCTTTTGTCATTATCCTTGGATTAAAAAAAAAGGATGCTGTTAGATTTGTTCCAGGGGGGAACTCGAAAAGTATGTATGGGACACGGAATGCGGTTAATGGAAAACGGAGGAGGTTTGTGAAACAATAGCCTCAGGAGTCTGGAGAGTCCCGGGAGGTTGTAAACCTAACAGACAGCAGCAGCAGCCGGCATTTCTATCCCCCCTGATAGGATGGAACTACCCTCCTTCCTTATCTCTACAGGATGAGATTGACCCAGGGGTCCCGGAAATTGGTTGTTTAAAAATTTTTTTTTTTTTTTTATTGCAGCGGCTGTTCTGGCCCAGGTACTCACTCCCCCCTTAAGAAACTCTCTATAAAACCCAAGGCTTTCCCCTCCCTCAGGGTGAATGCTCTTTGGCCTCCACCCATCTGCACCCGGATGCCCCAAATAAACAGCATTTTACTACACATGAGGCTTTCTCTCTCTCTCTGCTCCAGACCTAACAGATGCAAATTAGGTAAGAACTGTGTGTACCAGGAAGCTGTGATACCATTTTAAAAGTAAAGGAGCACACAGTGACGAGGCAGTGTTTCCATTCATATTCAATACCTCTGTACACACTTCAAATTACAGTTTAGTTTCCTGCTGCCAGGCTTTTAGCGCCACAGGCTGTAAGTAAGTGCTACTGGACTATGATTGATCTGGCTATTGAGAGTCTAACATCGGGTCAACAGGATCCCACTTAGATTTAGCAGTTGTGGCTGGTGTCCGGGAATGTGTTCATGCGAGCTGAAAGTCAGCCTGTGGTTTAGGACAGGAGAGCCAAAAACGTCTCGGAAGTGCCCCCGCAGTAGTGTGCGTGTGAGCCTCGGGGAAGGCCGGGAGGGTGCCGCGTGCCCCTGCGGCGCCTCCTTCATCAAGATGGCTTCGGCGCCCCGGCCCGCGGGGGCGGCCATCTTGGTGAGGGCCGGGGAGGCGGCCTGCGCGGTGCGGCCGCTGGCCGGGATGCCAGATTCGAAGGTCACAATCAGCGAGTGACCCGGCGACGGCTCGCCCCAAGGATGGCTAGGCAGCGAGCGCTGAGGCGCTGCCTGCAGCTGCTGACGCCCCGGGCGGAGCCGGCGCGGCTAGCCCGGGGGCGGAGAAACCCGGGCGTCAGCCGCCGCGGCCCCTCCCGCTGCGCCGGGGCGCTGTGCCCGGAGGCTCTGTGGCTCGAAGCCGAGGAACAGCCGCGGCAGCGGCGGCGGCAGCGCGCGCGCCAGGCCGCCCCCAGCACGAGGTGAGCCCGCGTCCCCGCGTCCTTGCTCCGCCCCCCGCCGCGCGCCCGCGGCCCGGACCGCGAGTACCTCGGAGCTCTGCGCTCGCTCCGGGACCGTGCGGGAGGCGGTTTCCTCCGCTCGCTGCCCTCTTTCGGGTCTGCTGCCTCCTCCTCAGTCTGCGGGCTGAACAGTCCGCACGCCCCGGCCGGGGGCTGTTCAGTCTCTTCGGCGAAGTAGAGCGGGCTGCGAGTGGGTCCCCAAGCCCTGCCTTACCCTGGAGATGCTGCACTTGTGAGTGACAGGGCTTCATCTGAATTTCCGCACCTCGCGACTTGCGGAGCCTGCATCTCTGAAGCTGTCTGGGTGAAGAGCCACAGAATTTTTTTTTTTTTCCTTTTTGGGAGAGTAGCTGCCTCTGGGATTTGATATCCCATCTTCCCTGCAAATTACCGGGTTGCATCTTCACTGATAGGAATACATGTGGGTGTATCTTCTTTTGGTTGCATGTAAATGAATGGGTTGACAACTTACTCAGAGCAACTTAGTTCTGCTTCATCTATAATATTGATCTTCTAAAAATTCATTCCAACAGGTTTCTCCCCTTTTATCTTGAAATAAGTGTGCTTATTTAACCCCAGAATGGAAATGAAGAGCAAAAAAAAAAAGGGGGGGGCAAAGTTGAGAGGGGTGGTGGAAGGTGGTGCTTTCTTGATTTTATGTTCGGTGGTTGTTTGCTTCTTAAATTGGGTATTACTGCAGGCTTTTCAGAACACGTATTCTGATAGTTTTTTTTTAGTGGGTAGAACTCGAACTCGATATGATCCTGGTAGTTGAGGTAAATATACTTCCACGGGCTCCGAATTCTGATGCGTTATTCCTCAGTGGAACCTGAAGAATATTAAGGGAATGAGAAGTTAACAGCCTTTTACAAAGTCATTTAGTTCTTGTCTTTGCCTTTACTGTAGGTTATTCTATCTATGTTATAACATGACTCACCTGGTTGGCTTTGGCTTGGCATGAAGTGTTTGCTGTTTGATAATTCTGATTAATTTATTGAGAAAGTCATTCCTGAGATACAGTTCTCTGCAAATTGAGAAATAATTTCTATCTTTATTAACAAATGGAAGTCTAACAGTTCCCTTTCTATTTTAAGTTACATTGATTATGAGTTAGCTGCAGACATTGACATCTGTTTAGAAAGAAGTTATGTAATCTTTAAAAAAAGAAAGATTGCCTGTATCCCACAATAGTCTGCTTTTGTTGCAAGAAAATATTCTGTTAAAGAAAAAATTTAGGGCGCGTGTACTTATTTAAAATAATAATTTAAGAGAGATTGAGAGGTAAAAATTGTTTTAAGTCAACTTGAGAATATGGTCAGGATTTCCGAAGATTTTATTTTGTTAACGGTTTGCAGGCTTTCCTTGTGCAAGGATTATGGTAAGTCTCCAAGAGATGAAAATATTTAGTGTATTTCTCAAATCCTTATTTTCACAATTCCAGATTATATTGTACAGATTCTGCATAGCAAACTTCTAATTTTTAAATTAGTCCAGTTAAAACTATTAGAAGGACATTTTAACATAAGCATTCCATCATAGGGTTTTGGTTATGCTTTAATTGATAGTCACTCTTGTGTGTGTTTGAAAGGGATATTGTGTTACTTCGGGTATTTGTGAGTTTGGAAAACTGAGGAGATTTTTATGAATATTTAGTCTGTGTTTGGAAAAGTAATATTTGCCTTTAATTTTGTTGTTTCAGTCTGCTTTTTCTTTGTAGTGGTGGCTATAATGGGTTTTTCCATTCCTTTCTATTCTATGTAAATAAGAATATGTAAATAAGAATATGGCTATACGGGAGGGCTGTGTTGATCTGGGCATTTTAGATTGAAGTGCATACAAGTAAAAAAAGTGTTTTCATTAGAGTGTTATTAGGGAAGCGAACTGTGCACATAATTAATCATTAATAAGCACTTTTATCCTGAAGGCCTGTGAGGACATGAATAAAACTGGCATTAAAAAAATCACCCAGGCCGGGCGCTGTGGCTCACGCCTGTAATCCTAGCACTCTGGGAGGCCGAGGTGGGTGGATCGCTCAAGGTCAGGAGTTCGAGACCAGCCTGAGCAAGAGCGAGACCCCGTCTATACTAAAAAACAGAAAGAAATGATCTGGACAACTAAAAAAATATATATAGAAAAAATTAGCCGGGCATGGTGGCACATACCTGTAGTCCCAGCTACTCAGGAGGCTGAGGCAGGAGGATCGCTTGAGCCCAGGAGTTTGAGGTTGCTGTGAGCTAGGCTGACGCCACGGCACTCTAGCCCGGGCAACAGAGTGAGACTGTCTCAAAAAAAAAAAAAAAAAAAATCACCCATGTGCTTTTCAGCATAAGGTTCAAGTAATATTTCATTTTAACATCTATAGTTTTGAAGAATTCTACCTGTCTGCAATTTATAGTCTTGCTCGACTTGTTTTTTGAATTTAATAACCATTTCTAGTGTATTTAAATATCAGATTACTTATGAACTGATATATCTCCAGGGGCAGTTTTATGTCAGAGATAACAATCTTCTGGCAACTCAGCTGGTTAAATAATGTATTATAGCTTTATCATTTACACAGCTCTTTCAGGTTTTTTAAAATCTATTTATTTCTAGTTTGATTTTATAGACATAAAATATGTGAGATTATTAACCCCATTCCATGGATGAGGAACACAGGGAACTGAGAGTCTCAGAGACTTTAGCAAAGGTCCCTTAGCTCAGCCTTCAGCAGAAAGGCTGAACCCCTCCCCCCCACTCTTGTTACACAAGGGTACCAATGAGGCCAAAGTAGAGGGATGTGGATCAGCAACCTTTGGTCAGCAATGCATTCGTAGATTGCACCCCTACACCTGAATAACAGGTTGTGAACAGTCAGTACTATTGGCTGTGGAGGCACAGGGCTGGCATACAGATGAATCTGCATAATTCAAAATTGTCATTGAAAAGCAGCTCAGTTTATGCCTGCTACCTAGAATAATCAATCCATCTTTCCCTTTAAAGGCAGCAGATTTTCGTGTTTATCTAACTGGGGGCCTTCCCAGATTAAGGGACATGTTCATAGAACAATGAATGCCTGTGGACTTCTGCATGACTCTGTAATCTCTCAGGTATAAGAGTAAAGTTATGAGGCCGGGCATGGTGGCTCACGCCTAGCCTATAATCCTAGCACTCTGGGAGACCAAGGTGGGAGGATCACTCAAGAGATCCTTTAGAGACTTTGTCTCTAAAAAAAAAAAAAAAAAAAAAGAAGAAGAATAAAGTTGTCAGAATAAAGAAACACCAAGCTTTCTCATTGTTACTAGTATTCCTTACACCAGTCATATATTTGTTTTGCTTGTAAGACCCTCATGCTAGGACAATTGGAGGACAGCAATAATTTGTTTTGAAAGTTGTTTTTCTATGTTTTGAAAGTCCTTCAAACTACAAAGATGTTTATTCCCTTTTCAAGTTACCGTGTTCATTCTTTTTTTTTTTTGAGACAGAGTTTCACTCTGTTGCCTGGGCTAGGGTGCCGTGGCGTCAGCCTAGCTCACAGCAACCTCAAACTCCTGGGCTCAAGCGATCCTCCTGCCTCAGCCTCCTGAGTAGCTGGGACTACAGGCATGTG